TAGACCCATGCACTCTGCTGACGCCAACCCCTGATCCTCGGCGTGTTCCTTAGCATCCTAAGAAGTGCTGCCAACGTGGAGCCTGTGGAACGAGTAGCTCCTGTTAGCAAGGCCTGGCTGCCCCAGGGCTCTCCGAGCCCTTCACCGGAATAGAAACCTCACAGGTTGCTCTGGCAAGCCTTCCCAATGAAGATGCAGCTCATTCTGCCAGTTTGCACCACAAAAGCCTCCCTGGTGACATGAGCCAGCCCACCAGAACCAGGAGGGCAGTGAACCCCTGTTAATGCTTACATTTCCTCCTGGTAAAGGTCTGCCTTGGCATCTGCCATGCCATGGTGCAACATCCCCAACATGACACCAGTGTGAGCAAGGCCAACTTCATGGTGGAGCCCCAGAGAAGACACGAATAATAAAACTGTGTCATTTTAGCGTGGGAGGTAATAAATGTGAGTGTCCACCCCTCAGCATCCCTGCAGAGGATGCCTGAACCTCTGTGACATCCCCTGCACCAGTGTGTCCAGGACTGAGATGCTGCAAAGCATCGGCCTCGAGTCTTGCGTTTTTAATGGTTTGGGCTGTTGGATGTGACAGTTTGGGACCGTGTCACCAGCAGTTTGTGTGTCCTCACCGCACAGTGTGAGGAAAGGAGGACTTCGGGGACAGCACCCGCTTTTCCTGGCCCTCCCTGGAGCAATGTGCTTGCAAAGGTGGAGCGGAGCGAGTGCAATTTGCGCGGGCAAATTCGGGCAAGCTCAGGACAAGGCCTTGCCAAGGCGGCTCAGTGGCCTGAGGCTGTCGCACTGTGATCCACAAGACGCGCTGGCCACCCTGTGCCCGTGGGAGATAAGAGCCTGCATCACGGGAGGCGGCAGCACACGCCCGGGCTGCAGCCAGGGGCTGCCTGACAACAGAACTGTGTTTTGTGTTAATTATACCTACAGTAATCTCATTTATACCGGCCTAACGAGAGGGGGAGGGCGGGAGTCTTTCTGCAGATGAAATGTTGGTACTTAAATCCCTCTTCTGCCAGCAGCAAGATTAATTGGCTTGGGAAGAAAGGCACAGGGAAACGATACGAAGGGATCCCTTGGTCAGAGGAACAGGGGGCCTGAGTTTGGGTCAAACTTGCAGCATCTCAACCCTTCTCGCAGCCACTTTTTCCCTTCCCACCACTCTAATCCTTTCTCCCGCCCTTGGGACCATGTGGAGCTGCAGGCTGGATGGCCCTCAGTGCTCCTTCTTCCCGGGGGACTGGCAAGTTCACAGCTGCCTGGATGATGGCAAGAGCGTTGGGAGCAGGATTTGGGGGCGCTCTGGGCAAACGGGGGAGAAATATCGTCCTCCCTTACAACAATCTTTTATATTACCTTACCAAACGCTTCCCTCTGCTTCTGTACACGCAGGAAAGGCCCCTGATGCGCCAGGGGCCAAGCCTCAGATCAAGCAGAGAGGGTACTAGAGAGTTATGGAAACACCTACTGCCTGCTTGTGATGGGCACTGTTCAATCCCAGGAGAAAGGCGCTGCTCCAAACACTGCCCATGTGGCATGGGATATGGAAAAGTCCAGCTCCGGGGAGACAGCAGAGCTGAGCAGGTCCCGGAGCCCAGGGAGGGCATGCGGACACGCTGCAAGTGGGAACAGAGCTCCTGCTTACAATGTGGCTTTTTTTTTTTAAATTTATTTTTTTATTTTTATTTTTATTTTATTTTTTATTTTTATTTTTATTTTTATTTTTATTTTTATTTTTATTTTTATTTTTATTTTTATTTTTATTTTTATTTTTATTTTTATTTTTATTTTATTGTTTGGTTTATTTTTCCTCCAAGACAGTCATGCCTTCTGGAGCAAAACAGCTTGAGAGATCTAAAGGCCTCTCTTGCAGCTGGCCTGTTTACACCGACCTCCCGCCTTCAGAGCAGAGAAACAAACCCGGGACATGATCAAAGGCTGTAGTAGCTTTTTCTTTTTTCTTTTTTTTTCTTTTTCTGGAGAGAAAGAGTGAGACCTGCTGAACTCAACGCTCAGGCTCTTTAATAAAAGCTGACTGGAGGGGCCGCTTGGCTCGCGGTTTGGGATAAGGTTGCCAGGCATCTCTGTTTGACCTGATTTTCTCGGCCAGCGAGGCCGCCTGCACTCTTTGCATGCCGAGAGCGAGAGGAGCAATTGTGTCCTTTAAAGCAGGGCTCAGACCACTCCACTTTGGCTTAAGACAAAGCATGCCCTGGCCAGAGGAGCGGCTTGGGAAACCTGCTCCTCGCAGCCCTGACTTGCAGAGTGTTTTCCGCAGTCTCGCTGGACCAGGTGCTCCTCGGTTGCTGCTCCTCTGTTCCCTCTTTTCCCCTTTGCTCTCTGTATGACCATGCAGAAGAGCCTCCCTATGGCTTTGCATGGCTTGCCATGCAAGGGGCCTCGTATCACAGTGATCCAGGGCTTCATCTTCCATCTAAAACGTGAAAACCACTTGGAGCAGGACTGGATGCGGGATTTCTCTGTCACCAAGGTGGCAAATGCTGCTTCGGGGCATTTCTTCCCTCTGAGTTCCATCTTGCCAGGATTTGCCTGGCAATCCCCTGTCTCCTTGCACACCACCTTCTCGAGGAAAACTTGTGAGAATCCCCTTTTGTCAAAGAACAGGGAAATTTTTCCCGCATGTGATGCCTCATCCCCGCTCCTAACCATTCAGTCTCCGAAGCAGTAGGCTGATTAAGCTTTCCAGAATGTTTGTTATCATTAAACATATCAACTATGGATCTTCTCAACAGGCAATTACATGACTAAGCCCTTTGGAAGCCTGCTGCATTCGCAGCCTCAATGACTTCTTATGGCAACAAATCCCACAGACGGATTACGTGATGTGCCGAGTGATTTCCTCCTATCAGCTCAGCCTTTGCTCTTTGCATTTCATCAGCTGCACCAGGGCACTGCAAGACATGGAGAAGGGATGCTCCGTCTGCTTCCCTTGGGAACGTTCCCTGAGTTTATCCAGACTGGAGCGTTACTTCTGATTGAGATTGAAGTCCCAATCCCGCTCCGCCTGTTGCTGCTTCCTGGCATGGGTAGGGGACACATCTTGCTCTCCAAGAGCCTTTGAGCCACCTTGAATCCAACAGCCCATATATTAGAGCACGCAACAAATTTGGAGATTAGTTTCCCTGTTGGTATGTTTTCCCAATCAATATTAAATCGGGTTTCCACGCTGGATCGCATCCGGATGGGGGGGACTGGTATCAGCCCCTTTCTCCCAATCCGCAGCCCCAACCAACACGGTTTCATCACCTGCAGAACCTGTTGCCGATGTTCCCCTTCCCACAAGGTCTCACTGGCAGCACACATGGAGCAGCATCAGCAAGAGCCCAATTCCCGTGTCCAAACCAAACCTGAGAGCTGCAGTGGATGCCCTGTCTCGAGCCGCTTTCCAATCCTTTTTCACCACAATATTTACCTGGAAAATACGTATCCGTGGTATGTTTTTATTCCTTCTGACTGGATTTTCCTTGTAGAGAGTGATAGCGTCTCCCTGATCCCTTAATCACAGCAGGCAGCTTTTTCCCAGGGCCATCAAATACCCATCTGCTGAAGGACAGGGGATTTTCTATGACGGCAAAGGCAGTGCGGCCACTGCTGCCCCCTCCCTTCTGCTGCCATCAATGAGTTCAAGAGAAAAAAACCTTTAAAAACTCAACTGTTTCTCCATATTCAGGCTCTGCCCTTAACTTTCAGATCCGCCCACACCTGGGCTGATCCGTGGCCTCTACCCCATCCTCACCCTCCGAAGTGTGTGTTTATCCATGCTGCCTCCACCTCAGGAATGGTGTTTTTGGAGGAGAGATGAATTCCTCCTTTGATGCTCTGTTGCTGGAGCGGGGATGTGGGAGCCCCCTCCAGCCCTCCACATCATCCCGCTTTCCGGAGCCAGCGGAAAAGGGGATACAAGCCAGAAGGGATTGGAAATCCTGTTCTGGAGGGCGCCAGACCCGAGGGGACCGTGGCAGGACGGGCTCCACGGAGCTGATGCCGGCAGATGCCGGAGCACCAGCGGGATGCTGACCCACTTCCCTACAGCTCTCCGTGCCCTGATTGGCCTCGACGTTGCCATAGCAACACGCATCCTCCCTGCATTCCCTGACCCCGGATTTGTGGTACCCAGGGGGTATCCAAGTGCTTTCGCTTAACCAGGGAAGGCCACAGGAAGGAGTGGGATCACATCATACCCTGTCTCCGGGCACCGACGGAAAGCCGACTTTTCAGCATGCAGAAAATCACTCACAAACTGGTGCCAACCTTGGACCAAAACTGCTGCGGCGGCAGCGTTTGAAGGCAGGGAGAGCCCTTTTGGGTGCCAGGGAGCTGTTTTCCTGGCCCTTTTCCTGCCCTTTCCCTGGCCCTTTTCTGCCCTCTCAGCAGCTGCTCAAAGATGCAATGAGTTGGTGAGACCTCTGTCCCACTTGGGTCCCCTCGAATTCCTGGCATCTTCGTCACCACTGAGTGGAACTCTGTTGGCTTGTGTAATTAGAGACTGAAGAAGAAAGCCCTCGGGCATGTAAAAAGCCATGGTTTTGTAGGAAAGAAAAAGGAAAAACAAATTTCTGCTGCCAAATTTTCCTTGGCGACACCCGCAGCTGCTCGTGCGTCCTGGAGGTCGCACGTGCTGGGAGGCTCGAGCAGAGCCTTTGGCACGGGGTGTTTGTGCTGGGAAAAGGCAGCCAGGAACTGGAGGGGCTGCCAGGCATGGAGGAGTTTGGACTGAGAGCAGGAAAGCCAGGGAATTTAATGGGAAAACTGGGAATTTCAACTGCGAAATTGGGGGTTTTAGCTGGGAAGCTGGGTTTGGAGAGCAGGTTACCCCTGGACTCTGGGTTCCCGGCACATCTGTCTGACCGAGGCACCGGACACCCTGGGGTGGCTTTGAGGGAGAGACGCAAACGCCGGGACAAGACGCCGGGAAGAGCCCACAGGACCCGTCACAAACGACCAGCTCAGGCACTTCCAATAAAAACATTCGTTATATTAATTAAAACGGCCACGAAGAGGCCGCGTAGAAAGCAGCGTCCATATTGCCAAATTCAAATGTCCGAGGGGCGGCTCTGGAGCCTGAAAAAGCAGCTGCAAAGTGGCCGCTGTGGAGTCCTGGGGGGGCTTTTTTATCCTCCCGTCAAGTCTGCAATTTCCTTGGGGGAATTAACCCCCATCCCAGGTTTTCTAGCTGTCCTGAGTCCTTGGCAAAACCATCCACATAGCTCGAGATGCTGAGATGCTCCGGAAAGGGCCCGTTTCCACCCGGAGAAGTCCATGGTGCTCCATTTAAAAAGGGGGAAAAGGGAAGAAAATGGGGTGATGGGGAGCAGACATGTGCTTTGCTCCTGCAGGACGTGCGTGCAGGAACTTGGGCGCTCCGGAGCGTTGTTCATTCCTATGCTGGGGAATGATGCTCAGAGAGGTCTCGGTGCTCCGGGAGCTGCCAGCTACATTTGGGAGTTGCTCATCCAGTGAATCTCTTGGACTTGCTCTGTTTGGATGCGTTTTCGGGGTGTGATGGAAATGGGGAGGTCGGAGGGTGGGTTTCTTTTGGGCCGTATCCAGGTCCGGGGATTCGAGGGGTCCTCTGCTGGCAGCAGTGTCTCCGAACGCCCAGAGCTTACCCGGATCTGCGGAAGCAAAGCAGAGAGGTGGCATTAGGGACATCCCATCACACCACCTTTTCCCATTGAAAAAGAAAGGAATATTTAAAAATAATAATATAATAATAATAAACAGAATAAACCACTTTGGGCAACTTCGCCTCCCTGCAAGTGCCTGCTGGGGTTTGCCAACCCAGCTTAACCCATACGTGATTTTGGGCACCTGGATGATCCAGGGAATAGGAGGAGCCCAGCAGTATTTTAGCCTTACGGACAGAAGCCTTCAACTCACGTGTAGAGGGGCTGCAGCTGCAAGTGCGACGTCTTCTGCGGCGCCTGGTAGCCGTAGGAGTCGAAGCCGCCGATGAAGTCGACTGTGGGCACGGAATGGGCAGCAGAGAGGTGACCGCCCGCCCTGGCCCCCTCCTTCGTCCCCATGTCCCCCTGTCCAGGCCCACCATGGGAGAATTTTCTCTGTTTTTTTCAGATTTATAATATTAAAAGTGGACTGAATGCTGGAGTTATGCCTGGTGCCCACGCAGCATCTGGCAGCATCCGGCATGGAGGTGGCATTCACATCCCCAGCACCCAGCAGTGGGTGCAGCACCCTGGCATCATCCCAGGGTGGATGCAGCATCCCATAAGAGACACAGCATCTCAGCATCATCCCAGTGCAATGCAGCATCCAGGCACCATCCCAGTGTGTTGCAGCATCCTGGCACCATGTCGGTGCCTACTGCCCGATGCATCCCAGCAGCATCCCAGTGCAATGCGGCCTCCTGGCACCATCCCAGTGCGATGCAGCACCCTGGCACGATCCCAGCGTGATGCAGCACCCTGGCACCATCCCCATGCCCACTGCCCGATGCATTCTGGCGGCATCCCAGTGCGACGCAGCATCTGGGCCCCATCCCAGCGCCTAGTGCTGGGCGCAGCATCCTGGCAGCATCCCGGCACGACGCGGCACCCCAGCACCCGCCACATGGGTGCCAAAGGCAGCCGTGCAGCTGCTCGCCCCGCAGGGGCTGCCAGCACTCAATTAATCAGGGGCAGACGAGGCTCTCTAATTAACCAGGGCGTTAAAGGAGGCTGCACGATCGCTGCCAGGGGCTCTCATCCACGCGGCGGCGAGCACAGCCAAAGCAGGCAGCGATGCCCACGAAACAACCCCGCGCACCAAAAACAGCCCCCAGCCCCGCTTGGACGCCCCTTGCCGAGGCCGAGGCACTCACAGCTGTCCTCCTCCTCCAGGAACACCTTGCTCACGTAGCAGGCATACACAAAGCCGAAGAGCTGCGAGACACAAGCGCCCGGGAAGGGGCACGTGGTGAGGAGGAGGCCAAAGGCTCACGAGGCCAAAAGGATTAATAACAGCAATAACAGCAGTCATAGTATTGCTACTGAGAGTAACAGTAGTAATAGTAGCACCAATAGCAACACTGGGAGAAATAACGTCAATAGGAGCAGCAATGGTAATAGCAGTAGCAATAGTAATAGGAGTAGCAAAAACATCAATAATAGTGGCATTAATAAAAGGCAGTAGCAGTAGTAATAGTAACAGTAGTAATAACAACAATAGTAAGAGTAACAGCAGCAACAGTGGTACTACTAGTAGTAATAGTGATAGCGGCAGCAGCCACAGTGCTTGGCTACAAGTACTAGAGGGACTAATGACAGCAATAGTAGTGGTAGTAATAATAGTAATAGGGGTGTAGTAATAGCAGCAATAGTAATAGCAGCAATAGTAATAGCAGCAATAGTAATAGCAGCAATAATAAGCATGGTAGTATTAGTAGTGTGAGTAGCAATATTATTTATAATATGAATAGGAATAATAGCATTTATAGAGGTATTAGGGATAATTATAGAATGCTTAGGGTTGGAAGGGACCTCAGAGGTCATCTAGTCCAACCATGGAAGTTCTAAATATACAAATCATGGGGAGTTATTCCCTCTGGCTCTGGTGGGGCCGCACCACGGGATGCGGCAGGATGCAGTGCGGGGAGGATGCCGAGCTCAGAGGAACAAACCTCAGCAGGTTCCTCGTGGAGCTGTTGGCATCGCGGCTGCTGGTACAGCAGAGGGGATCCCGGGTGGCCTCCCCATTCCCAGGCCTCCAGCGCGGGGAACGGGGCCCCAGGGACCCTGTGGGACCCCTGGGCGGGCGCCGCGCTGCGGCTCTTACCGCCAGGAAGATCTGCGTGGCGCTGCTCACCACCTCGATGTACTGGTAGTCCAGGAGGCAGCCCGTGACCGTGATGACGTGGTGGTCCTCCGGCGCCAGGCGCGCGTTCAGCACCGGCGTCACCAGGCAGCCCGGCCCGTTCTCCATCCACCAGGAGCGGTGCAGGGACGTGTTGAAGGTCATGACGAAGTCGCGCTCCTGTGGCGGGATGATGCACGGAGGGAGCCCCGTGCCCACAGATCCGTCGGGGATCCCAGCGGGAACAGCAGGGGCTTGGCTGGGGTCTCCCAGGGATCAATCGTGGGCAATTTGGGGTGCCATGGGGCGCCCCAGCACCTCATATGTGCCCCAGGGAATGAGGAAGGAGGGAGGAAGGTGGATAGAATGGGATGAAAGGAGGAGGGAAGGGACGGGATGAAAGGAGGAGGGAGATGGGAAGGGTTGGGATGGGATGGGATGGGATGGAAGGAAGAAGGAGGTGGGATGGGATGAGATGAGATGGGAGGAGGAAGGAAGGAAGAGGAAGGAAAGAAGGAAGGCAGAAAGTAGGAAAAAACGGAGAGGAAGAAGGGGGGAAGGACAAACGCAGGGAGAGAGGACAAGGTAAAAGGAAGGGAAGCATCAAGGAAAGATGATGGTGATGAGGAAGACAAGGATGACAGGGAGAGAGCAAAGGAGGC